TTATTATTATTATTATTATTATTATTATTATTAATTATATCTTTAGTATGTAATGATTTCTTCATGTGTATTGTCCTACATTAGTTTCTCTGTATTCTGGGTATACTCTCTTCCCCATCTCTTCTCTTTTTCTTTTTTTCTTTTTGCGATGGCCACACATTGAAATAAGATGATGATGATGGAAGAAAATATAAATCTTCAAAGCCGATAAATAAATAAAAGAAAGAGAAAAAAAAGATGTCGAGGGAAAATATACCTTCGGGTAGTAGACAACTACGGCAATGTACTCTCGATGACTTCCTGCGTCCAACACAGCACCACAATAATAATGACAAGAAGAATAATATGAACAACAACAACACAACACGTCCTTCTCTTGATACTGAGGCTGAAAAGAGAAGAAGAATCAATGGTGATGGTGATGCTAGTAATAATATTAATAGTAGTAGTAGAGATATCCCCAACACAAATACTATCATACTCCCATGGTCAGAAGATAATCGCTTTATAAAAGAGACAGGAGATGTTTGTCAAGCGTGGGATATCATCACTAACATTATCGCAAATGATAACTCAACCAACACAGAAGATCTTCGACGTTTATTACAGTCACTTCTCGTACATAATTCCAACACCGGGGATTCGCCATTACCACAGTTTGACACTATTTGTTTTGTTCTTGATCATATCATGCTTCCATTAGAATCTGCCGATTTCTTTAATGTAACCTTACCGTGGATGAAGTGTCTTGTTTTGAATGGTCCACGAGTTATTCCTCATAATCAATTACCAATGCTTACTCAACGTGAAACGAGACGTTTGGTATTTACATATGAAGAAGTGATAACACTCATGTCGTGTGGATTCTTTTCTCTTTTTCCTGGACGACTTTCTAAGAAAGGATTTGAGAGAGGGAAAAAAGTTGGAGCCTTTAACTTTGTAGATTTACTCTCTCTTATACCTTCTAATAGAAGGGAGAGTCAGTTTGCCAAGGTGCGATGTTTACTACAATATTTCATTTATTGTTCTCATAATAGAGAAAGTGTAAAGACAGGATTAGAACTTTATCGTGTTAGTTTCTCATCATCTTTTCCAAATTTTCACTCTAGTACGGCATTCATGCAGCCTATTACGATGTATGCAGATGGATTTATTGAGGAAAGTTATGGTCATCTTCAAATTGATTTTGCAAATAAAGTAGTAGGTGGTGGGGTTTTACGTACTGGATGTGTTCAGGAGGAAATACGATTTATTACTTATCCAGAATTAATTCTCTCTCAACTTGTTTGTGATTCCTTACGGGATAATGAAGTGTTATTTATGAGTGGAGCTGGACAGTATAGTGTGACAGAGGGATATGCCAATAGTTTTCGTTTTCTCCATGGAAATACACCAGAATATATTACTATAAGAAATGAGAAATCTTTACAAGGATATAATCAGAAAATGGTAGAGTTAGTGACTAGCAATGTACAAAGAGAAGAAACCAATGGTGATCCCATTTTATTACGAAACTGTTGTGTAGTCGCTATGGACGCGGTAAGTTACACTGGAGATATTAATAAACAATACACTTTACGATATATCGTACGTGAGATACGAAAGGCATTTGTGGCCTTTAAAGGTATACCCGATAGTACACTCCTCTCTGTACATTCAGGTCCTATAGCAACAGGCAATTGGGGTTGCGGTGCATTCCAAGGGGATTATGAATTAAAAGTAATGATTCAATGGTGTGCCGCCTCTCAAGCAGGACGGTCACTTATTTATTTTACATTTGGGAATCATGATTTGTGTTGTAAGTTTCAACGTGTTTATGAAAAACTGCAACGAGAAGCTTGGACGGTGGGTCATGTGTTTGTTGTATTAGTTATGTTTGGTCAGTCCTGTGAGCAGAGATCATCATTATCATTATCATCATCATCAGGTCTATCTTCTTCACAGTTGAGTGGTAAATTATTTGATTACATTCTTTCTACACCAAGATGGCGATGTCTCTCGATACGATAGAAACTATCTGTGTAAAATATAGAACTGGAATCATAGAAGAATATGTATTTTTTTTTCTCTTTATTTTTTTTTTTTTTGTACAGATATTCATTCACATATATATATATATATATATATATATATATATATGTTTGTTTGTTTGTTGGTGGGGTATTTCCATACCATGTAATGATGTATTTCTTTCTATACTCTTTTTTTTTTTCCTTTTCTTCTTCCAATCTCTTCTCTATTCTATTCCAGTAGTAGTTTTTCTTTCATTTGTTTCTCTCTCTCTCTCTCTCTCTCTCTTTGTGTGTGTGTACGTGTGTTGGTGTGTTTGTACGAATGCAGGCCGACAGCGTTGACCCCGCCACCTTTTCACTTCGACCGGAGCACCGACAGAAGTTCCGCCCGGCTGAAATCCGGCCCATTGTTCGTAGTATCATCGAGTCTCGACTGGAGGGCGAGACGTACCGGGCGGATGAGATGCAAAGCATCAGCAAAGAAGTTGCCGACACGGTGCGGGATCGCATTCGCGCGATGGAGTTGGAGCGGTACAAAATAATGGTGCACTGCATGATTGGCGAGCAGCGCGGGCAGGGCGTGCGGGCGGGATGTAAAATGTTTTGGGACTCCGACACCGATGATTACTTTGAGGAGGTGTACATCACAGAGGATCTCTTCGTTGTGGTCACCGTGTTTGGACTCTATCAGTATTAGAAAAGGATAGAAGAAGAAGAAGAGAGAGAGAGGAAGAAGAGTTGAGTTACTTTTAATGTGGCCTCTCTCTCTCTCTCTCTCTCTCTCTCTTTGTTTGTGTGTGGGATATGTGAAGAAGAATAACAACAACAACAAATAGAAGGGAGGGAAGATCAAATGGGAGGAAAAGAGTACATATTGTTGAGGCGTGTAGACTTTTTTTTTTTGTTTTGCCTGTGTTGGAAGTGATCGAGAATGGCGATGGATATATTTATTATTTTCTTTTTTTTTCCTCATTTATATGTGCTTTTGTCAAGAGAGCACATTGCAGAAGAACATGTAATGTATGTGTGCAAATAGAGGTAGAAAAAGAAGAAAAAGAAAGAAAGAAAAAGAAATGTGTTTATTGTACATGTGAAGAAATTTTTATTCTTTGAATTCTTGTTAACAGTATTCTCGTTTTTTTTTTCTTATTTATTTGTTTATTTTTCTTTTTAATGGCTTTCTCCTGTAAAGGGACTAACGAGAAAGGAACAAAAGAAGCAAAAGAGTAGGAAAGAAAGAAAAGAGAGAAAAGAAGATGATAAGTCTTCGGAGTAAGTCACCTCAAACAGTGCAGAAAGACCCCGCCACTATTCCATGGGAATCAATTCCATCCGATCGTGTTGATAAATCCTTTTGGGTGGCGTTAATGGAATATATGGAGCCACTGCAGCAATCAGAGTTCCCACTGGCAAGTAAAGAATTCTTTAGTCTTCGCAATAGTGCCCGTGATGAAAGGGAAACATCCCAGTCTTTAACAAAGTCTGTTGTAAACGCAGCGAATGAACTTCGTTGTTACTATGATGAGGTCTCACTATGGAATCCTCTCGCATTGGCGGTACGTCTTGGATTTAGAGTAAGTGTTGTAATTCAACAATTATTACTTGCAAAGGAGTATAACTTGATTAACATGTTATTTGTTGTTTGTTGTCATTCGTGTGGGTGTGATATGTTGCGTGTGAACTCCGTAAGTGAGATTTGCTTTCGCGCTACTTATCATCGAACGAATATTATTCGATGCCCCATGTGTACAGAGTGTACAGAGGTAACGGAATTACCACAAGTGGGTGTATTCTTTCAACCACGTTATCCATCTCCGTTATTACGACGTATTTATCATCGATTGTGTTGGAGTGAAGAGGCGATAAAGCGACGACTTGAGAGTTATTTTTGTCCACCAGAAGCTTCCTTTTCATTTCAGGTACAACTTCCACAAGGTTCATATCTTCTTATTGTTTCTGGTCTGGGATTGGTTCTTCATCTTCATGTTGGTATGGGCGCAGAGTATTTGGAACGTGGGAAACCTTATCAAGTAGTGTCCGTAATACTAGAGAAGTATTTGAAAAATAATAAGAGTAATGATGGTAAGAGAAAAAGTGAGGCTAGTAATGATAATAATAATAATGATGATGATGATGATGGTGGGAAAACTGAGAAATGTGATGATTCAAATATTTATGTTGAGCATGGTAAACTAAAACTTCAGATATTTAATGGTACCTCATATGGTAGTTATTTGGATCTTTGCATTGATTTTGATCATCGATTAGAATTCATGACTGTAAAGCCACTTTTATTGGCGACTGTTCCTCTTTTATTACAACACCTTCCACGTGGTCTGCGATCATCATTGTTTAATTATTTTATTCCACGACCACCAGGAACTATCACGACTGGAGTATATGTTGTTCATTCCTTTAATCTTTCCGCAGAGGAATTTGAGGAACCTGATATGGCAGGTATAGACTCTGTATTAGCTGTAATAAGAGAAGTTCATCGATATTCATTGGAAGATCATCATGGAATGCTTTTATCCGTAGGAAATGGTGGAAGTATGTTTGAATCTTTATTTTATTCCTTTACAGCCGCATTAGCATCATCTTTATGTTTAGCTCAGCGAGTGACAACACGTCTTGGTGAAGATGTAGCGGCTACACTTTCCTGTGCAATTGTAAAAGGTGGAATGAAGATGTCATCTTTTCAAGGACAATACGATGATGATGAGAATCTCCGTTCATCTTATCCTGATATTCAAATTACTGGACCAGTGATATACGCATCTGCACATCCACCTATTGTTATATTAAATAATACGAACAATAATAAAGGAATTTATGAAAAAGAACAAGTTAGAGGAGCCTATGAAGAAGAAGGAGTTCAACGTGAAAACTCGTATTATGTTCGGTTTGAACTTCGCTCAACATCAGAAAATTGTATGGGTACATGTATTGACCCTCATTCTGCAGATGATATGCTTTCATATTTTCTCTCATTTCTTGAGGAACATCTTTCTGGGCTAAAAATCGTACATGAGCCTCAGGCACTTGTCGTTGTAGTGCCTTTGGCTACACTTAGTGCCAAATTAATGTTGTCTACACTGATTGATCCTGTTATGTATACAAGGGAGTTGACTGGTCCCTTTGGATAAAGGAGGAAGAGAAAGAAAGGAATACTTTTTTTTTCTTTTTTTTTTTTTTTTGATGAAAGAAGAGGAACTTTAAAATAAAGTCTCTTCTAAAAAAGAACTGAAAACATGACATCTGGAAAAGTGGAAAAAGAAAAAAAAAAAAAAAAAACATAGAAGTGAAAAATAACATGGATGATATATTTTAATTTTGTGATCATGTATATGTATATTATATATATATATATATATATATATATGTATATATGGAACCTGGGAAGAGGTGGGGCAATATCATCTGCCTCCCTTCATTGGAAAAATATCTAAGAAAAAAAAAATACATATACAGTTTTTTTTTAATTCTTTTGTTTGTCTTTTTATTTTATGGTGAAAACATTTATTTATTTGTTTGTTTGTTTTGATTTTGTACTTTATTTGCTTCCCCTTATTCTTTCACTTCCCTATGGGCTTCTCACAATAGATTTTTGTCTGTGTGTTTGTGTGAGCAACGGATTCTATTGATTGAAGACCTCTCCTTCCCATTGCACATTTTTTTTTTTTTTTTGAACACCATCAATCATAATTCTTCATATATATATATATATATATATATATATATATTGGTAAACTTCTTTTTTTTTTTAATTGATTTCTCTCTTTCTTTCTTTCGTGCTCGCTGTTGATAATTGATTCATTTTCTCTTTCATGTTTTCTTTCTTTTTTTTATAACTTTACACAAAGACTCTCTTTCACCGTCGCCGTGGAAGTGTCGCGGAGGGACACACACACACAGAAAGAAAGAAAGAAAGAGAGGAAAGAGAAGGTTTACGTTTAAACGATTAAAAAAAAAAAAAAAGTGAAAGTTTTTTTTTAAAAAAAAAGAGGAAAAAAAGAAAAATTTATAATAACGAGTGCGTGCGTGTGTGTAAATCCATGCGGCGTCTGCAGCCGTCTCTCTTATTTCTCCTCTCGCGAGAAGAAAAAAAAACAACAACAATCATCGTCTCAACTGCCGCGAAGGACCGCGTGTTATCTTCCCAGTATAGATACCAATCCACCTTTGGAGAGCAGCGGACCACCGCGAGGAGATCTAAACAGGCCTATCATCATCCATTAGCCCCAAAAGATCCCGCTGCTCGTAATATTGTGATCCCAGACGCCGTTCACGCAAAGGCCCGATCTTCAGATGTACTTTCTCCTGAAGTTCTGCAAAAAAGAGCCCAACGTGCACTTCTCATGCAATTGCAGCAAAATATTATTTGGGAAGGGACTGTGATTGATGATGAACGACATGATTTAATTCAACATTTTACAAAACTTCGTCAGAATTATAAATATCGCTCCTCTAAACAAATGATGATAGTGAGTGGTAAAGAGATACTTCGTGAACTCTTTGAAGCTGGATATACTCCACGACATTTACTTGTTCGTGATGGACAAGAAATACCATCATGGACAAGGAAAAAAAGTGTGAAAACAGAAATAGTACGTGTAAATCGACATATCGCAGAAGTCTGTGCACCTGGTAATGATGGATTTATTGGTGATTTTGATATTCCTCCTCCACCACCAAAGGAAAATCTTATTGCCAATAAACAACGCCTTGATCGTGTTCTTGTATTAGATAATGTGGATGATCCAGGTTTACTGGGTACACTACTACGTACGGCTTCTGGATTTCAATATGATGCTATTATTGCAACGAATCACTGTGCAGATTTATATGATCATTGTGTTGTTCGTGCGGCTCGTGGTGCTCATTTTCAACACTCTGTGCCTATTTATACGCTTAGGGATGAAGATGGGGATAATGTGTATGGGATGTTAAATCACATTGTACAACGAAATAATTTGTCTACTGTATGCTTTACACATATGAATGATGAAATAAAGGAAGATAGTAAGAAGGATGAAAAGAATAAATATGTAGGTGAAATTAGTAAACTTTCACAAAGTTTGTCCTCTAGTCCTAATCGACCTGTGCAGCAGGAGACACTTTCAGATTACTGCCGTCGTCGTTTCACAGATGAAAGTGTACAGGGACAAATGCTTATTGCTGGTCCAAATCACAAACGTAATTCAGTTCAACGGTGGTCAAAGCGAATTGCTTCTCCACTCACACAATTATTACTAGACGAAGTACCTCAAACAGATGCGTTAGTGGCATTCTCTGTTGTCCTTCATGCTTTACGTCCTCATGGAAATTGGGATTATCTTCCAATGCAAGATTCACATAAGAATAATAGTAATACTTCCATAGAGTTGCAAACACGAAAAGCATCTGTTGATATTGGAGCAGATCGTTTAGGGATGAGTGAACACGACCTTAACCTGGATGAGGAAGAACAGATAGAAAAGGCCAATTTTGCTAATGAGTTTATGCGTTGGCGGCGTCTGCAACGTGGTAAGTTGAGTGACTACGATCGCTGGATGGAAGCGGAAATGCGACGAGTAAAAGAAATGGCAGCCAATGAACAGAAAAAACAGGCCTCTCCGTGGTCTCAACTGCATTGGCGAGAACAGAAGGGAGCGGCGGGGATGCCGTCGTCTGTGCCGAATATCATTGATGAGTACCGTATGCCGCTGGATCGTGATGCCCTTCGTGAGGAACGTGAAATAAGTGAGAAGTACGTGAGACCCGGGAACTACGACCAACGAGTATCAAAGTAAATTCTCACTGTTTGGGTATTGTGATTTGGTGGGGTGGAAAGAATATGTGTTTGTGTAGATAAGATACATGAGGTGAGTTTAGATTTGTTGTGTTTTTTTTTATTCATTCTCTTCTTGTTGTTGTGAGATACATAAAATGATGTATGAGATATGTATATATGCTTGTGTATGATTTCCGTTAATACACTTTTCTTTGCCTCTCTCTTTTTTTTTTAATTTATTTTCTTCTTATTTCACCTTGCCGATTGCTTCAAGAGGTGGCGATGACGCTTTACTCAATTTACATTTTTAATCGCTATGGTGATAATATCTTTTATTTGCAGTGGAAGCGCACAAGTGCGGTGCAGGAAGGTGAGGCTAGTCTAGTTGCAGGATTTATTTACACACTCCAACATCTCTCTTCACAGTTATCGTCCACACGATTAGGCGGATTACGGGCTGTGCAAACCCCACTATATAAACTTCACTATGGTGAAACCATAACTGGTTATCGTGTAGCTCTCTTAACAGATAAAGAAATGAGTACACCACTTGTGCAGGGAATATTTCTTGAGATGTTCCGCGGTGTATTTCAAACAGCTGTAACGAAAGATCCAAACTACCGTCATGAACCAGGATGCATGATTACCTCCCCAGAGTTCACGGAGGGGTTAGAAGCGCTTTTCCGTGAAAAGAAACTTCTTTGATTCTGTATATTGTATGCTGTTCTTGTTGCTCTTGTTTTTCTTCTGGAGATGAAGAGAAAGTGAGAAAAAAAAAAGGGAGAAAAAAAACAAACAAAAAAAAAGAGTTGGTGAGAAGAGGGAAGGAAGGAATAAGGGCAAGTTGATATAAACAAAGTGTGATGATTCTTCCATCTTTCCGTTTTTTTGTTTTATTTATTTATTCTTTCTTTTTTACTATTTATCTTCTTCCGTATTTTATTACAGTGAAGAGGTAGGAAGTTACTTCTATCCCTCTCTCTCCATATATATATATATATATATTAGTATTCTTATTTAGGGAGTAATCATGGATGATGGCACGGGTCATCTCCTACGGCCTCATTCCATCATTGGCATGGGGGCGTACGGTACTGTTTTCAAAGCCTTTCGGCTCCCAAAGACGTATAGTGATAGTGAAGAGATGTGGAGACACCATGCAAAGGCAGTGGCTGTCAAGCAAACCATATTAACAGAGGTGGCGGATGATATCACAGTGGTATTAAAGGAAGTCTCATATCTTAGTAATCTTCAACATCATAATATTGTCTCTTATTATACGGCGTTTACAAGTCATTCCAAATCCACAACTCCTGTACGGGCCACTCAACCACCAGTTCAGAAAAAACAAAAACAAAAACAACAACAACAACAACATAAACAGTCATCCACGACAAAGTCTACTCAAGAGAATGTTAATAAACCCTCAATAAGTTTTGCAGAGGGGCCATCCTTGTGTATTGTTGAAGAACTTGTGGAAGGGGCATCTGTTGCCAAAGTACTGAAAATGATATTCGCCGGTCAAATCCCTAAACCCATGACAGAGGGAGAAATTGCCGCCGTGCTGTATGATGTCCTAGAGGCTTTACTATATATTCACAACGAATGCCGTCTCGTCCATCGCGACATCAAACCACTTAATATGTTGTTAGATCGTAATAGCCGTTCCGTGAAATTGTGTGATTTCGGTACCTGTGCAGATATGAGCCAACAGGCGGGTCGCTACACTGTGATTGGCACTATTGGCTGGATTGCCCCAGAAGTGTTGGATAGTGGGATGATGGATCATCGATCCGGCCGCATTACTTCTCATAGTTTTCCTTCAGATATCTGGTCTCTTGGCGTCTCTGCGCTTGAGATGGCACGACCCACCACACGCAAACAGGCACTTGCAGAGTATATAAAAGATTTAAGTGCTGTTTCCTGTTCTGTACAACCGCATGTGGAAACTGTACGGAAAAGTTTTTTAAATGAGAAATTACCATCTGGAGATTTACGAGATTTTATTGCCTGTTGTCTACGTAAGGATCCACTCATTAGACCTACAGTTAAACAATTACTACTACATCCGTTTATCGTTGGAAATAATGTCGCGAATACTAGTGAACGACAAGCCAAGATATCTTCTATTCTTACCGCGGTAAGTCTCGCAAGTAAAGCGAATGCTAATACGGAGGAGAAAATGAATGATGAAGGTATTATTCTTCCACAGTATGCCTCCTCTACCCTATCAAAAAATCGTTGTATGGAAGCTATTGCAGCCATTAAACGAGATTTCTTTGCTGCACAAGCTTCACTTTTAGAAAAGACTCGTACAGCACATTATTCATGGTGTTTACCAGCATCTCTTACGAATATGTTATCATCCAATGATTATCGTTTTATGCCAACATTTTCAAGACCACAAGGACTTGGACAAGTACCTTCTTCCTCAGTTTCATCATCCCAAACACGAGGGTCTATACAGCTTAAACCACTTTTTGACTCTGTTGTATTACCAGCCACTGAAGAAAGTCGAGGCATTGTGTTAAATATTATGAGAAAATACAGAAAACTTGGTGGAGCACAGACAGCGGATGGTTGGACTGATATTGACCGACGTAGTGATGCCTGTTATGCACTTGATGAATTGGCTTGTCAAAACTTAAAACTTGAAAACTTTATGATGTTGTATGATGATCTTCTTCGTACATTTAAAGCGGCTTGTGTTTCTATGCCAGATTTTGCAATGGACTTTATGTCATCTTTTATGCAATCATTAACTTCTTCAGAGGATAATGTACAAACTCTACAACGGTTTATTGCCTATATTCACCAGTTACAGAAGGATGATCTCATGCACACCCACCATGGTCAAATAGAACCCACAGACTCTAAAACAACCATACCAAAAAATCCATCTGTACTTTCACGTGCAACTCATAATACAATGGCTTTCGCTGCGGCAGAAGATTGGTTGCGGTTTCCACGTATGCCTCAGTCAGCAGGAACTATAGATACTACTAATAGTGGAGATGATACCGGTACAGATTCCATACGACAGCAGACTCCACTAGTGAATCCATCAGCGTATCTATTTAATAAGTGGTTGAAAGGTAAACAATCAAGATCAATGGATTCATCATGATAACCGTATTGAAGGGAACCACGACAGTGAGAGAGGGAGAGAGAGAGAGAGAGAGAGAGAAAAGAGAAGGAAAAATTTGAGTCTTCTGTAAGGAGTTTTTTTTTGTTTGTGCTTTGGTGGGAAGAATATTATTCTTTCTCTATTGTTATTCTTGGTGGTGGTGGTGGTGTTGGTGGTGTCAGAATTACCTTCTGTCTAAATGATGTGCTTTAGATATTGCTTTCAAAGTACAAAAAAAAATAAAAATATTTATTTATTTTTCTTTGGTTTTACTGAGAACTGGATATGTTTATGATTATTATTTTTTTATGTTTCTTCTACCTGTGAAACTATTGTTTTCTTTTTTCTTTCTTTCTCTCTCTTTTCTCAAGTTGTGGTTGGGGAATACGGTGGAGAAATAGGCTATTCTTTGTTTTTTTCTTTTCGGTTTGTTTATCTTTTTCTCTCTGTGTCTGTTTTCTAGTTGAGGAGCAATGACGAAGCTTGTGCGTAAACTCAAGCAGATGGCCAAAAAGAGGGCCCATCGCAAGACTGTGCAGAAGCGAAAGATGGAGCGAGAACAGAAAAAGATTGAGGAGAATGAGAAACGCAAGGAAGAGGAATTAGAGCGGGAAACAGATCTTGAGATGCAGCGACTCGCAGGCGGTGAAGATCTCACAGGGGCAAATGAAGAGTCTACGGATAATACTACTACTACTACCACAACAGCAGGAAGAGCGACAACAGATGATGCAGAACTGAATAAGAAAATTGTGCGAATGGTGGGCGGACTCGTGCTGGAGGCCCCGCAGAAAAAATCAAAGAAACAGATGAGCCGCAAACAAGCAAAGAGGAAAGAAAAATTACAAGAGCGTGGCCTCGATGTCGCAGCGAGGTTAGACCGGAAGTGGGATACTAAAAAAAGACGAGTAAAGATACGTGCACAGGTTCGTAATGAAGATCTTCATAACTAAAATAGAAAAAAAAAAAAGCGATTTAAAAAAAAGAAAGAGACACGTCTGCGTTGAAGTCACACATTATACTACATTGATAATATAGTGTCTATGTTTTCTCTGTTTCTGTGGTATATTTGTTTTGTTTGCTTTTTATTGTTTTTCTCATTATCTCTCTCTTACTGTTACTCTTTTTTTATGGTACTTAAACGCTTTCTTCTCTCTCCTGTTTTTTTTTCTTTTTTATTCCATCCGTCTTTGTTTGTTTGTTTTTTATTATCATTATTTTATTCTTGTATTTATTTTATTTTTTATTAATCAAAAAGCCTCTCCTTGTCTTTTTTTTTTTTTGTTTTTCTGCTTCAGGTGTGCGTTTTCCTTTTTCTTTCGTCTGAAATATAATGGACCCGCCACTGGACGCAGAACAACTTTCAGCCCCACCGACGACGACGGAGGATCTCCTGCCAACACCTTCTACAAACACAACGGCTGCTCCCACGAACACTCCTCCTCATAGTCCAGAGCAAGAAGCAGGAGAAACTGCAGCAGCAGCAGCAGCAGAAAGTTCTGATGCTCTTGCAGATAACGTTAATATTCATATGGATGGGAATGAATCTTTTTCACTTCCCATGCAACTTGAGAATGAGGATGATGACGCTCCATTAGCGGTTGAGGATTTGTTTGGTGAGTTGTTTGAAGTGGGGGATCAGAGACCAGTCGATCCTGTCCTGATTGACACACGTAATATGCTCCTAAACCTCTTTGGTTCCTTTATACGTGAAGAAGATGTAGACTTTGAAGATGAAAAACAAACGAAATTGGTCAAGGAAATGGCAGATAATAAAGCTGCAGCTCGATTTGCAGTGGTAGAAAAGTGGTTTGGTGAAGCTGGTGCTGCTGCATTGGAGGATCAACGTATTGAGTCCTTTGGATGTTTGCAATCATCTTTACCAGATAAACCAGATGTTGGTCCATACGAAAAATTATGGCTTACGGATATGCCTAAAATTGCACCTAATCGTCAAACACTTCATATGGATCCGAAGCCGTTTCTTCCATCATGTTGTACTCCATTAAAAAATACAGATCGTATGCTTTATACTACTCAGAATGTTATTCGATGGGCCCATCATCAAGGTACAAATACATTTATGAGTAATTCTCGTGTTGTACGTTGGAGTGATGGAAGTGTTACCTTGCATGTTGGTAGTGATATATTCACATTGCAGCCATCAAAGGAGAGTGCTCTAACGATGCTTGCTCGTCCAGCAGTTGTACGTAAAGGAAAAATTGGAATTCCTGCAATGGTTTCTACACTTAATCCAGATGAACATTTTGTGGTAGAAGGTGCTACTGCAGCTTCTATTGAAGAAGCGGTTATTGCTGAGAGTGCACAATTCCGTTCAGTTTCTACTCAGCATAATCTTGCATATGCTACACCAACACTTCCAAATATTAATTGGAACAATATTAAAACAGTTCGTAACCCTGTTGAAGAATATATAATAAAGGAGTACAATCGACGACAGAAAATCATTGAACAACGAAAGAAAGAAGGACGACCCATGACTTTAACGGAACAAATGGAAATGGAGAATGAACTTCTCCAACGACTTCAAACTCTCAGTGTGGATGAACTTATGGTACAACAACAAGAACAACAGCGGGAGGCTGCCCTTCGTGCGGCTACTCGACAACAAACAACTTCACGTAGAAGTCGTTTTGATAGAAATATGGATCTTGAAGGTGGTGTAGATAATGTACCAGGTGAAGACAGATTTGAAACTAGGGTAAAAGGAGAAAATAACGATGATGATGATGATGATTATGATGATGATGATGCTAATAATAATAATGATGATGACGGTGAGGAAGACTACGAAACGATGTTGGAGAATATGCGTCAGAAACGTCAGCGTGAGGATGAAGCGGAAGATAATGAGCGAATTCGCCGCATTCAACGACTGGAAGGTACACAGGCCTCTCGTTACAGTGGCCTTATGGAGGCTTTGCGTGAAGTGATTACACTTCTCCCAGCAGGATCGAATGCACGTGGATCTGTGCAAGGAACACTGGACTTTTTAGGTACAGGGGCATTCTCTGTTGGTGTTGTGGAGAAGGAGGTGCCATTGATGATGGAGGAGGTGACAAACGAGTTCCCAGAGTTAGACTTGTCTCGTGTACGGCAGGAACTCCACAAATTATACGGATGAGTATTTTTTTTTTTTTTTTTTTTTTTCTTTTTAGAAAAAATCTCCTACACCCACTCTATATATGCGAAGTAACGACGAACGATGCAAACAAAAAAAGAAAATTTTTTTTTGAGAGAGAAAGAGAGAGGAGGGGAAAGGGGAAAAATGGAAAAAAAAAAAAAAAACAAGAAAACTCTGAGGAACGGGGTCTGTGATTGAAGGCGTGGGAGGGGGTGGGGATTAAGTGATATGTGGATATGATGAAATAAAGAGCAGTTGGCCTTATTTCTGTATTTTATTTTCACTTCGCCTTCCTCTTCTGGTAAGTGCATAAAAATGTGTTGGTGATGATGATGATTATTGTTATTATGATAATGATGGATGTTTAGGATTTCAATCCCATCATACCCAACGAAACAAAGAAAAAATAATTAGAACAGATTAATTTCTTTTTAACTCTGCTTAGAGATACGTTGTTTTTTTTCTTTTCCTAATTTCTTTTCTTTCTTTTTCTATCTTTTCTTGTTGATATTATTTTTACCCCTCTATTCCACTAATTATGTTATCACATTTCTTTATTGGTATATTATAGGGCACAAAGGAGTGCCCATAAGTGGATAGGTAAAAAAAAAAAAAAAACAACGAAGCAACAACAAAAAAACAAAAACACAAGGAAAAAAAAAAAATATACCACTACTACGTAAATAGCAGTGGATAAAATCATACCCTTCTCACTCTCTCCTCCCATCCCCTTTGTTTCTTGGAGTTATGTGCAGTATAGAGCGATTGGGTCTTAAGCGGGCCCGCCCCGCTCCAATCTCTTCTACAGATCCGCTCCCAATTTATTTAGACTACAACGCCACCACTCCACTCGGGGAAGAGGCGTGGGCAGCGATGACTGCGGTACATAATGTCTGGGGAAATCCAAGTTCTACACATCCATACGGTATGGCCGCGAAGTATGCATTGGAGCAGGCAAGACAGAAAGTAGCTAATGCGATAGAAGCAGCGAACGCGGAGAATATTTTATTCACATCGGGAGGTACAGAGTCTAATAATATCGCTATTATTGGTGGGGCATTAGCATTACATGAAAAGTATCCAAAACGTCGTCATATTATTTCCACTACAGTTGAACATCCTGCTGTAGAAAATGTATTGACATTTTTACAAAAAGAGAAATCTATGGGCTTTACAACTCATCGTTTCCCTGTACATGTGAAAACTGGATGTGTGGATGTTGATCAATGGCGTCAATATTTACTTAAACTTCCAGGAGGTCCTAAAACGGTTGCATTAATATCTGTTATGCATGCAAATAATGAAATTGGTTCTATTAATCCTATAAAAGAACTTGTGAGAATGGTAAAAGAACTTTGTGGACCGGAAGTTATTTTTCATACAGACGCTGCACAATCTATTGGAAAAATACCCGTTAACGTGAAAGAAATGCAAGTAGATTTGTTATCCATTTGTTCACATAAGTTTTACGGACCAAAAGGAATAGGTTGTCTATATGTAAGAGATGGAATTCAATTAAAGAATATTACCTTTGGTGCCGGTCATGAGCGTGGAATACGACCAGGTACTGAAAATGTATTGCTGGCAACAGGTATGGCAGAAGCTCTTCATATCGCTTGCAAAAATCAACCAAAAAATTCTAAAAATATGCGAGAAACAAGAGATGAACTTCTACGTGTTATAGAAGAAGAATTAAAGAAGGTTGGAATGTGGTATATAATCAATGGAGATAAGGATTGTGCTCTTCCTAATACTCTTAACATTGCTTTATACAGGGAAAGGAATAATAAACAGCGTATCTATATATCTGCACAGGGAATTATTCTTGCTGTGGGGGATAAAGTTTGTATGTCTGCTGGATCTGCATGTCATTCTGCTGCTGAAAAGGTTGAAGTATCATCGCCGTTAAAAGGTGTGGGTGTGGATCTCGAACGGGCTGTAGGAACACTTCGACTCTCTACAGGAAGAGGAACAACTATGGAAGAGGTTCGACGGGCCGCTCGCATAATAGTACGCCGGGCTGCACAGCAGTTTGGTGATATGTAGTTAATGGAATTTACATGAATTTGATTTTACCACGTTGTTGTTGTTGTTTTTTTTTTTTTTTTTTTA